GAAACAATACTTTCCAGTTTCCTAAGAGATCGGTCATTAGGCGACTCGTCTTACTGGGCAACAAAGATATTAGTAATTCACGTGCAAAGGCAGTCCGACATTCGCGTGTAACAATGCCCAGTTATTTTGCAGTAAAAACTAGCTAAAACTTATGGCGGGAAACAGTTTTTCATTTTTAGATGTCATACGACCTTAAAGTAGCTGATGAGAGCGCAAGCTTTTATTAAAAGAATCGTGCCCCTGAAGGATATAACAATAAGAAAAGTAGATGAACCAGAGGCCGTCTGCCCAAACGGAAATGGGAGGAGAAATTCCAGTTACTGAATACAACAATAGCAGATGTGGCTGATCCAGAGGTTCTCGAACGAAATCTAGAAGAGTAATTTCAGCTGATGGGTATAACAATAAGAAGTGGGGCTGAACCAGTGGTGCTCGAAAGAAGAGGAAAGCGAGGTGAAGGTGGAAGGGGGTCGTCATAAAAATTTATCCTTTCTTTCTCAAATACGGCAGAAGAAAAACATTTGTCCCTTAGGAAAGAGGCGAACTTCCGTAGATCAATCATGCAGTGATCATCCTTCTCTTGATGCTACATTGTTACTGTACAGCCACGCCAAAACAGCGTATGTAAAGCCTTTGCAAACTTGCTTGCAACAACAACAACAACTTTTATTTGAGCTTGTAACTTTGTTTGAGCTTGCTTTCCCGCTTGCTTGCCTACACACTTACTTCCTGACATGTTTGCTTCCTTACCTATTTGACTCAAGACTGATGTATTAAGCCGCCTTAAAGATCTTTAAAGTGACTTTTTTCTGGACGCATTAAGACAACTTTGCTCAAACCTGAACTTCGCGGTATATAACGAGCCCAATTGAAGGGTGGAGGCCACTCAGTGCGCTTGCAATATCCATAACTAGTGTTTCCCTTTCCAAGTAACGCACAGTATTCAGCTTCTATAAAATCATTCCTACAAATATCAACGAGAAAATTGTTATGATTTATCTTGGGGTTTGTGTATAACCATTAGAGAGTTATTGGATATGAGCCGCAGATAAAAGAATAACAAGACTAGACGAGTCAAACTTGAAACATCAAGGCTGGAGATTAGGCTTTTTTACACACAGAAGTTGTTTCCCTTGAAACTAAATAGATACTTACAAACTACGTCAATTGATCATCGGCTTACGGGAGGTCGTCTTGTGTAAGACACCTTACGACGACTTGCACCACATAGTAGAACTTTTAAGTTTAAGTCGTAAGTAAGCAGAGGAAAGCGTGCGATAACATGTTCTTTTCTCGAAGGCCTGATCACAGGTTACTAGGCAGATAGCTGAGTATTAGATGTGCAGAGAATAGCGCTTGGATTTAGTTAGCAGAGAATACGGACAATACCGCAAATTGTGCAAGTCAGATGTTAGCACAATTTGTTTAGGTAAAGGGATAGTGGGAAAGTAGGTATTGCTAGACAAAAGAATCGATGAACCCTGGCAACTGGTTGTGATGGTCTTACTAGCTAACAGGCGTGATACTCGCTGGGTAATCCATCGTCACACAGCTAGTGAGTGTGCCTGTTGTGGAAAATACGTCTCACACACGATGGCTTCCCGTTATATTAGCCGATATCAACTTAATGCAGCCCAAATATGCGAACAGTACTGTGAGGCAAAAGAACACCTCCATTGCGGGCAGTAAGTATTTTGTTTGCCTAATATTCCCGCGCATTCTTGGGGGATCAGTAAATTACCTGAAAAACTCCGGACAGTCCCTGACAATGTCATCGCAAACCGCCCGACAAATGGAGTAATGTCCTTGACCCTCGCCGGGAAAACACGGTGGAAAATTCTCCCCACAGAACATTTTCTTGAGGTTCTCTTGGCACTTAGGATACTTCTTTAACAGTTTTAGAAAATGTGGAGGGAAGTCTGTCTCTGCGTTCTCCTCACTGTAATGCTTATTGTAGACGTGAAGATACCAATGTTTCTGGTTTTCAGCTGTTATAAGGGTTTGCTGTGATACTACAAGGTTCTTACACGCAGGAATAATCAGTTTTTGACAGTCTCTGTCCAGCGGACCTATGGAAAAAGAAAGAAAACACAAGAAATAAAAACACAAAAAATAGAGCCAGTTCAGAGTTCACTGACCGGCTGCGACCATCAACTCGGTCAGGGATGCAATAATGGAGAAGTTTTAGGGTCTAAAACTTTACTGACATTTAGCCAGAAAGTCCTACAGGGTCTGATCATGAGCAAAAGCAGCAGTCATTTGCACCTATGTTTTTCCAAAGATTACGGGTCATGTTGTTGTATTTGGTGTGGCAAGTAGACTACGAGTAGTCCCTCTTTCGCTTAGCCCTTGTGCATGACGCGAAAGAAAAACAGCGAGAAAAAAATGGCCTCGTGAAATCCTGGGAGCGCGCTTCTCTCCCTTGGGATTTCACGCGGCCATTTTTTTTCTGTCAGTTTTTTTACGGTCTCGCTCGACGAACTAAGCGAGAGAGAGACTACTCGTAGTCTAGTTAAACACAGACTAAGCAAACTGAAATTACTTTTCTTGATGCTCTTTGCGTTGGATTATTCCACGCAGTTTTTCAGGCAAAGGTTACAGGATCTTGGATTTGTATAGAGGAACTTTGAGGTTTTCTCTGTCTGCGGTTTCAACCGTTTTAAAGACCTGTCGTCCAGTTGTTCAGTTTTAGCTTCAGTTGCGATTTTCGTTTCGTTCTTTTTAAGTATTCGGTGCGGATTCGAAATTCGGGGCTTTTCCAATTTTTCTTTGGCGCTTTTTTTGATTTTAAGCGATTATTATAGTGTCATCATAAACACTCTTGTTCTTTGGCCATTTCAATTTAACAAGAGATAAAATGCAAACAGCGGCAACAAACATAACACATGAACTACGCATGGTTTGGAACAACAATCTAAAATTTTCTTGACGTTTCGCATGCTACAGCACGCATCTTCAGAAGTGGCGGTTACAAAAAACGAAAGATTTACAACTTAAAAATACAAAGCGAGGTACTGGTAACTAACCAGGAGCCATAATCGGAGACGGAGGGGAGAGACCGTAAGTGCGCGCCATTTCAAGTATTGGGGTTGTCCCAGGGGCGGGGGAGAACACTCTGCGACGCCTGGCACTTTTT